TGGCAAAACAGACTTGACTGGACCACCAGCTAGGGTAACCAAATAGCAAGTGTGAAAAATTGGGACGGGGGTGGGGAGTAATACGTGCCGATATATGACAAAGCCCCAGATATCAGTACTGTCCCTATAAAATCAGGACATCTGGTCACTCTATCACCAGCTATCATTCCTAAACACTTAACAGTTTATAGTCTCTTGTTCTGCCCTGGGTCTGTCAGGTAATGTAACAGCGCCTTTCTAATACAACCCCATTTCCCCAATATTTTTACTAAATAATGTAATGTAACTTTTCTTACCTTCAGCCCTTTAAATCCCTCAGAAAGCTTTTCCCTTTCTTGATCAAAGCCCTTACAGACCCATAGAAGGTGGTCAGTTGTGGATATTTGCCTGGTTTTCTTATTGGAATTATTACTGCATCTTTCCACCCTACCAATATCACTCATTGTTCCCATATAATATTATAGAAGTCCAAAAGTATCCTCAAACTGCTTTCAGGAAGATATCTGAACACTATATTACAGACATTATCTTTGCCTGGGGATGTATATTTGTTTATATCAATAGCTTTCTCAAGTTCCCGCATATAAAACTTTTCATTCAATACAGTATCTTCATGCTTTCCCCACTGCATATAGGTGTATACCTCTCTACAATTAATTGTCCTTTAATGTGGCACAAAACTACACTTCGATTTTCATCATTACTCATCCCTCAGAAAATTTCTGCTAAAAACATCTGTTCTCTCATTGTCATTATCAGAACTTCTAACTATTTTTTGTCAGTTCCAATAGGAGCTGGGGTGTGATTATTCTTACTATCTGAATTCCACTCATTCTTCTGATTTGCCTGTATATTTTGATATCTTTATTTGACCTCCCACAGTACTTTATCCAACTCTTTCTTTTTCTTTTCTTTTCTTTTTTTTTTATAATTCTTTATGCTATGGCCTTAGTTCTTTTATATTTCATTAGATCTTCACTATTAATTTTATTTTTCATATTGTTCCTTTCTTTAACTGCCATTTTGTACTCCTCATTCCACGATGGAAGTGAGTTTTTAGTTTTGGGATACTTTGATATCTTAGGTGTGGCTACAGTAGTTGCTGCTATTATTCCCTTTATTACATTGTTGTTGAAATTCTGTCACCACTCAGACACAGATCATTCACAAATTCAGTACATTTACTTGTAAATAGCTCTCAGTTTGTTTTCTTAAGATTTAAGGAGGGTCATTTTCTACTACTTTCAACCTTACCTTGTCCTTGAAAAGTAATAAGTATAGGGAAATGATCACTCCCCATCCCTTATTCCTTATATATTTCCCAATTGCATTTGCTTGCAATATCAGGTCTAAGCAAGAAAACCCACCATCTGCTGCATTCAATCTAGTGGGGGTGCCATCATTTTAAACCACTAGATTGTTTTCTTCAATGAGTCTTTCTGGACATGCACCATTACTATAGGTTGTCCTACTTCCCCACAGTTTATTTATGACTGTTTAGGTTGTATATATATATATATATATATATATATATATATATATATATATATAGTCTTTTAGCATTCTTTATTATTTCTTGTAATTCTGAGCTTTCTAATGTACCACATGGGTTATGGATATTATAAATCCTTACAGAAATATTTCTCCTCTCCACTGGGATCTCAACAGCATTATATTCGAGACTTATTTCTTCATTCTCTACTTCTGTGTAATTTAATCTTTCCCTTACAAACACTTCCATCTCTACCTTGTTTTTGGTCTTGTCTAAAAGCCTGGAATTTTCAAAGCAAACTTTTCAACCACCCATGTTTTCTGGGTACATATGAGATCTGGTTTAGTATATTTTCTTTTTGTTCTTGACCATGTGCTATCAAACTCTGCACATTCCAGCAAAAGATTGTGATTCCCACACTAGTCATATTTCACTATTGCCCTCATTCAAGATTGCATGAAAATGACCCATTGACAGATTACTAACACACAAGTATTTTTCCATGACCCTTGCTATAATTTTCATTTTTTCTGATTTCCCCCCCATATGTGATGTGCAATTTATCACTTCTATCATACATGCAATAAACCTTTCTTTTTTCTCTGTTAATATTTTATCACCTGTTCCTTCTGCAATATTTTTTATAGAATGAGGCTGCATCTGCAGTTCCCCTTTTCCTGTACTGATTTTCTCTTCTTTTTCCTAGTTACAGCTTTCTCAGAAGATGTTAATAACATTTTTTGTCTTTTGTATCTCTTTAGCTTGTCTCTTTTGCCACAGTACAGCCTGTGTGCCAGACTGATTCCCACCACAGTTACTACACTTGACCTCCACCCCTTTTACACAATTTTCATAGGAATGCTCACCCGCACATTTACTGCACCTCATTTTCCCTTTACAAACATTTATCTATATCATGGACACTTGCAGCACCTTAGGGGAGGGGGATTTATGGCTTGGTTCTAAATATCTGATGATGCCTTTGTAATAGTTTCTCAGGCAAGTCCTGCCCTTAAATGTAACCAGCACTGCTGTTGATAGCATGTTTTCTCCTCCTTACTTACTAATTAACTGCTTGCTTACTACCACTCTTTTCCTGTGTTTGTTTTTTTTAAATCTCCAAAGGTACCCCATATATTACCCCCTTTGCTACAGTCAAATACTTTTGATAGCTGGCAACTTATTTTAACTTTCCCTAAAGTTTTACTTTCTAGAAGTTTATTAGCCTGAGGGAAAGAACGAAAGAGGAAAAGAACTAACTCCACTGGCTATAGCCTGGTCTACACTAGGAAATTAGGTCAATATAACTATGTCAGTCAAGGGTGTGAAAAATCCACACGCCTGAGCGGCGCAGTTAAACCGACCTAACCTCTGGTGGAGACAGTGCTAGGTCAATGGGGGAATTCTCTCATCAGCATAGCTACTGCCTCTCGGGGTGGTGGATTATCTACGCTGATGGGAGAACCCCGGCAGTCAGCACAGGTCGTGTCTTCACTGAAGCACTCCAGCAACGCAGCTGCGCCACTGTACCATCAGACAAGCCCTAAGAAAGGATGTGATATTTGGGTACAAGGACTTGAAAGGCGCCAATATCCAGGAGGGAGAGAAACGGTTTAGGACAATCAGTACAATACATCGATACAACTAGGAGTAATTGGGTGAAACGACAAATGAAAATGTAGCCCAAATATCTTCCTTGCCATGCAACCTGTTAGACCATGAAATAGTCTCCAAAGGGACACGGTGGCAGCCCCATGTCCAACACCAAACATTCAAAAATAAGGAATCAACCCCCCCCCCCCCCCAGATGTTGGCATTTGCTTAAAAATCATGCGATTTAAAAATGTTGGGTTCTCTTTACTTGCCCTTATATCTGGTTTGTGAGCCTGTAAGGGCCATTCTTTCTTTGAAACGCATGAGGACTTGCAACCTAAAAATGAAAGCTGAGACTCTTATGCAATTATATGACTCCAGGACCTGGTCCTTTAAGAAAACTACCGCAATATCAGGAGTGGGCAATACTGCACTAGATAAATAGCTGGACAGACAGACAGTATGTACATACAACAACTGTATTTTCCACTTTATGCATCCGATGAAATGAGCTGTAGCTCATGAAAGCTTATGCTCAAATAAATTGGTTAGTCTCTAAGGTGCCACAAGTACTCCTTTTCTTTTTGCAAATACAGACTAACACGGCTGTTACTCTGAAACCTGTCATGATGTAGATAGAGTTATAGCCCAAGGAAGTCAGATACAATGCAATATAACCTACTTTTATAGATGTATGTCCAGTTAATAACATATAGAATGGAAGAGACCCAGTCCCTAATCTAACCCATTTCCCTGCCAATGCAGATTAAAAAACAATAAAAAGTAAACAACAAGGACAAAAAAATCCTTGCCTGAGATACCAGACCCCCATTTTCCCAATGGGCTGGGCATAGGGCTTTGACTATCAGACTAGCCCTGGTGAGTTGAGGACAAAACTAAACCCTTCCACTCCTCCCTGTTCTCTTAATCTTTGATTTTGCAATCAAATGGAAACCATTTATTTTAACATCTTGTATTGCCTTTACGCTTCATTTAAAGACTCACTTGTAAGCCAGCGGCGGATTGTTTAAAATGAACAGCCCTGAAACCTAACCCATGCCAAAGGCAGTTTAGTTATCTCCTTTGGGAAGGGGAAGTGTTACTATCCATTCTTTTTTTATACTAAATACATATTCTCTGGTAACGAACTTTTCCACCTCTGATTTACTGCATAATCCCCCCTCTTCTTTACCCCTCTGGCTCTTTGGCTAAAGGATTCTTTTCTCGTCTTATCCCCTCTGTCTTTTCACTGCCCCTTCATGCTTTTGTCTCCTGTGTGTACCTCTCTGCCCAGATTTCCCTGTGTGCAGTTTGTAACTCGAGCTCCCATTTCCTGGTAGATTTTCTTAAAGAGGCAACGTTCGGCAAGCAGAACAAAGCCTATTGTTTTATTTCCTCAAATCATTTTGATCCTCACGTTGTGTTCCATTTTCTTCTTTAGCTCTCCCCTCCCCTTACACACACGTTACCATTGTTAATGGTGTGTAATTTTTGAGGGGGTTGGGGAGGGTTATTCGCAATTCTGCCGTTATTGGAGCAAACATCGAGGTAATATTTCCACGCAGATGTTTCTGCGTTTAAATTTTAACAGATCTTCGAGCAATGAGCTGTCAATAAAAACAATCTGTTTCTTTCCTTCTTCTATTATCCCATTTTCTTGTTTCCTGGTTTGTTTGTTTTGTCTGCACCAGGTTTGAGAACATAACTATTAAACTCCCCCTCCCTTCTCTAGTTTCACCATCAATTTGGACACCCTTTTGTGTCAGCAGATTCCCCTTCTCTTTCTCCCCCTACCATGCCCTGCATTTATTTCCCTGTTGCCTGACGGTAACATGAGCTTTTATTTCCTGGTGGCAGGGTTCCTTTAAGAGGCAGAGCTCAGTGCTGGGAATTCACGTCAGTTTCAGCCCTGAAACTCTCAAGATCAATGAGCAAAGAGCTTTCTCTCAGTTCTGTCTTTCAGTTTCTCTCTTCCAGGAAGGAAAACATTCACGGAGAGGGGGAGAGAGCGAGAAAACCAGCCTCACCCTTCAGATCTCAAAGCATAACACCGGCAAATTAAAACAAACATATTCACCCCTTCCTTCAAAGGATAAAAAAACCAGCAACCAAACATCACAACAAAACTATGCAGGCTGCCTCTCCTAGGGGCAGATCTGCAGGATCTTTGGGGTTATTTGGAAAGATGGTTGGAGTAACTTCTCCTTAAATGATTACGTCTGTCTGTGAAGGATTTCTGGGTTAGGGAGAGGAAAGGAAAGTGGAAAAAAACGGAGAACTTCCTGATCTCTCTCTCTCCTTCCCCCCCTTTCTGTGAGACATGTCTGAGGCTCCTGCTCAGTGTTGCATCAAGGTAAAAACCCATTTTCCCATTTTGAAACCTGCCTAGATCCAGACAATGTTTGCAGCGTGGAAGATTGTCGGCATTATATTTCTAACTGATCTCTCTTTCGGGAGGGGTGCGTGAACGGGGTTTGGGGGAAAAGATGCAGCTTGTTTTTGCTGTTGTGCGTTACCTTTTAGTTTTAACCTTGCTATCTATTTCCTTTTCTTCTTCTTTAAATATACAATGAAATCCTTGTCATGAGCGAGCCGGGAAAGTCCAGCTTGTTTTGTTTGTTTGTTGGTTGAGTTTTGGCAGTAAATACTCAGTGATTACTGGTTAAACCTGATGTCTATTTGTCCATGAACACGAAGAGTGAATGTGAACTTTTTGTGCTTTTAGGAGGGAGGGAGAGAGGGGAAAAAGAAAGGTCTCCCGCAGAAATGTAAATAGAAACATTTGCTTTATGAAAATGATCGTTCAGCCTGATCAGGAAAGACCTGTTTTCTTAGACTATAATAACTTACCACACATTTGAACGCGTTGCGCTTTCATTAGTGTTTGATATGCAAACGCCCTACATATGGCACCTTCACAGTGTACAAAATGTATCTGCTTTTTAAAATCATCATTGTTATTTATTTATTTATTTATTTATTTTCAAAGATGATCGGTGAGGGGTTATTTATTTATTTATTTCGCCAGGCGTGCACGGCATCTTGACAACTATAAGCAAGTCTCAAACTATCTTGATTTCCACGGCACAAAGGGGGGGGACTAGCACTGCACTTTGGCAGTCAGGGATGCCTTTCTGTATTTGTGACTACAGTGGAGAAAAACACACAAACCCAGTGTAGAAGCAGTTCAGTGTTGGAGGCGTGATTTTCGTTGCTGGTGGATGGTTTAAATTAATACCTGGTACCTGGCCCCTTCCAGTTTGGAGATCCTGGGTTTTGTTGTTGTTGCTGCTCTAAAGTTTGTAGGAAGTTTGCTGGGGTGGAAGGGATGCAGTATTTGTATTTCCACACGCGGTGGGCTGGTGCTGTTTTTGAATCAATTTATTTGTGGCTCTCATCTATGAACATGTAGGGCAGTGTTGTGAGAGCAGAGTGCCGCACACTCTTTGCCTTGTGAGGAGCCTGAGGAGTGGGTTTCTTTGTGACTTGGCCCATTGAACATGCTACATGGTGAAGTTTCCCATTTTAAGTGGTGGCAGTATAAAGCTGAGAGTGGAAAAAATAAAGTTTCATCTCTTGTCCAGAACTTTCCTATCCAGCGGATCCATATAGATAATGATATCTGTTTAATTACCTCTCCCCCATTTATGGTTTAATCACTTTTTTTCTTAAGGAATCATTTTATTTCACTCACAAGCTGGATAGGAATGTGTTGATAACTGTTACCGTTCAGAAACATTTTATGATAGTCTATGGGTAGAAAGAAACTATTGCCATAGCATTTTAAAGGCGGAACTGCCAGCAATAAAAAGTTATTTATCCTACTGAAAACGATAGAACCCTTTTTGTCCTGTATGTTTGCACATTTCTGATTATAGTCTTGTATTCTGTGCAATATAACTAGAATTTGAAAACTCCTGGGCTAATTTCTCTTTCTGAGTAAACTAATTTCATCACAGTGTCCTTTGAAGTCCTGTGGCATAAAGAATGTAGTTTATTTGACTTTTCATAACATGGATAGGCAAACTAGATAATAGGGTATTGTGTGTTTTAATTGTATGGCAAAACATTTTGATACAGGGAAAATCTGTACTACTAACTAACTCATTGATTTTTTCTAACAAATCCCATAAAAACATTATATATGCTTACCGGAGATGAGATCACAGACTACTATACCAAAAACAATAGTGCTGCTCAGTAGCTCATTACTTTGTGTTAGAAATGGGGCATCTTGCAAATAAATGAGGCTTGGTCATGCTCCCACATAAGTCAGGGACAAATGTCTCCTTGATTTACGATACAGCCCACTTGGTCCCCCACAATATTTAACACAAAACATTATGGAGCGATCTTATAAGGGGTCCCCCACATATTACTTGTGTATTTCCTACTCCTTCATACTAATAGTGAAAATATGGAAGTGTTTTGTTATGCTTAAAGGGATGTCATCAAATTGATTTTTTTTTTAAACTGACTAATTTTTAAAAGCCTCTTTAAATACCATGGCCTGATTTTTTTAAAAAGACCCTTAAGATTTTTATGAGTGTTTTTCTGCTCTCGCATTGACACTGACGAGGATCTCATTAGCAAGAGAGAAACTGGTTACTCTACAGGGGAAGCCCGAAGTCCAACTATACACAGTGCTGTCACATGCACACAGTAAACAAAATGAAGGGAAAAGAAGATTTTTTTGGTCTGACTTCTCAGCTATAATACTTTTTAGTTGTTCCTCTTAAGTACCGAAGAGTAACTTTTCAAACAGAAATGTGAATGTCAAATAGATGATATCCCTTTAAAAGTCAAACCAGTCTGGGTAATTTTTCTCTTCATTTGATTGTTTCCTGTCACTGTCTTTGGGACATTTGTTTCATTCAGAATAGATTCAAAGTTAATTGTAGGTCAGTAACTGGAATCAAAAGAACATCTCTAAATGATGGTGTAACCATTCCAGTGTGATCCATTATTTCACTATAGCCCCATGCCAGGTTGCAGTGTGGAGTTTTTACTCAGGAGCATATAATCAAGCATTACTTTGTATTACATGTCTGCCGCAACACTGTCTTGTACCTTGCCGCTGTAAACAGCAAATGTTTCAATGTTGAATTGTCTGCCTGGCAAAGGTATTTCATTAGGAACCTATGAACTGGAAGCAGTGTTGTTTTTAGATATAAGTATTTTGTTAGGGCTTTTCCCTCCCCCAACAAGGAGCAAGTCAGCGTGCAATAAATTCCACAGCAACTAGTGTGGTGAACCATGGACAGCCAGAATGAAGGGAGTGAAGGAAAGTGCTTTGTTTGTAGCTGAGACATCTTACCTCACCAGAAAAGCACTATAAGAAGATTTAGGAAGGACTTCTGGGGATGAAGTTCTGGTTTCCAGTGTATGCTTGTCTGCTCTCAATCAATACAAATTCACAGTAATATCTCTGTCAAATGGCTATTTGGGGGTGTACGTGTATACTTATATATTGATACATTTTTGGTTTGCTGCAAGTGTGTGTGTGAGTGTGTATTTATAAAAATTCATTCTCTGTGAGGGGAAAAAAAAATGAATGCTAAGGCCCTGATCCTGCAAATGCTTGCTTAATATGCTACATTGAGTAGTCCCATTAACATCGGACTGAGTAGGAAGGCAATCAAGCTGAGCATGTACATAAGAGTTTGCAGGATCTGGGCCTAAGTCAGCAATGTCATTGAGAAAGTAAGATTTCAGGAGTCAGGAAACACAGAGTTAAGGTTGAACCCTTCATGTTTATTGTGTTTTTGCTTTAAAAATCTGGTCTCTCTGTATCATTTTAAATTTGCAATTTATACATCAAGACTGGGAATCAGGAGATCTGTGTTTCTTCACCTGACTTCACTACTGTAACCTTGGGAAAGTCGCTCCACCGCCCTGTGCCTCAGCTTACCCCTCTGTAAAATGAGGATAATGATATTTTTCTTTGTAAGGTGCTTTGAGCAAAGTATAATTAAGATACAGTACAGAACACATAGTATTCAGACTTGCCTTGATTATGATTTTAAAGATTAAGTGGCCTTTAAAGTTATGAATGTTTAACACTGAGTGGCCTAAAGCAGTGGTTCCCAAAGCCGGTCTGCCGCTTGTTCAGGGAAAGCCCCTGGTGCGCCGGACCGGTTTGTTTACCTGCCGTGTCCGCAGGTTTGGCCGATCGCGGCTCCCACTGGCCACGGTTCGCCGCTCCAGGCCAATGGGGGCTGCGGGAAGCGGTGCAGGCCATTGGCCTGGAGCGGTGAACCGCGGCCAGTCGGAGTCGCGACTGGCCGAACCTGCGGACGTGGCAGGTAAACAAACTGGTCCGGCGTGCCAGGGGCTTACCCTGAACAAGCGGCAGACTGGCTTTGGGAACCACTGGCCTAAAGCTTGCAATGATCTCAAATTTGAGATGATCTCAGCTTCTGAACTCTTGAGATGGCCCAATGTGCTTAGTCACTCGCTGTGAATCAATCTAAAAAGACAAATGAGAAAGATTCAACTTGCTGATCTTGTACATTCATTAATTTAAAACTACAGAATTTCTTCCTTACAAACATACTTGTCTTTAACTGAGACAACCTTAACTCCCAGGTGTTCTGAGCTAACACATATTTTTAGTAAAAATACTTTGCCTTTACATTTCCTATATATAGAGTTTGAAACTCTCTATGTATATTAATAAGTTAACCCTTGCAACCCCCTGGTCCCTAAGGTAGGTAGGTATTACTGCAGATAGGGAAACTGAGGTGTATTGAAATTAGAAGTGTCTTGTGGAAGGCCACACCATAAATCTGTTGCAGAGCCAGGAATAGAAATCAAATGTCTGAGCAGCCTCTTTTGTAGGGCTGCCAATTCTTGCAATTGTACTGTGAATCTAGTGATATCTGGTGTTTTACTTAAATTCCTAGCTCCTGGAATTATTTGATTCTGTGAGAATCAGCTTTTTTTTTTTTTAAATGAAAGTTTCAGGCTCTCCTGTTTATGGATGAGATCCTAAAAACATGACCTGAGCGCACCAGAAAGAATCCAGAATGTATTATTTATTTATTTATTTATTTAATGTATATATTTAAAAAATAAACTATCCTGAATTTTAAGCCAATCTAATGATTTTTGGGAGTCTGACTTAATTTTTGAACACTTTGGTTGGAGATTCTGCCTACTTTATCCACAAAACTGTTTTTCATCCCTTTTTAACAAGACTTTGGAATGTCATAGAATATCAGGGTTGGAAGGGACCTCAGAAGATCATCTAGTCCAACCCCTTGCTCAAAGCAGGACCAATCCCCAATTTTTTTTTTTTTTCCCCAGATCCCTAAATGGCCCCCTCAGGGATTGAACTCACAACCCTGAGTT